AACATTGTATTTTTACTCGATTACCTATAGAGTATACACATAGCTCCTGGACCTGAAAATAAAATCCTGAAATGCAAAGCTCAATATATTTGAAAAGACAAAAGTTACAAGTGTTTGTGTTTGATGACTCTTGCAAATAATTTCAGTTAKGAAAACTTCCCCTGTGCAGAGTTCTTAGTAACAGGCTGGGAGCGGCTAGCAAATGTGGTTTGATGGGGGTTTCATTTCTAGCCTAGATGCATGGGATTATAAATGGAAATCGTGGCTTTGTAAGCTACACTGCAGGGCCCAGCAGGTTCCCAGAAATGCCACTTGAGTGGCTGAGAGTTAAGCTCACTTTGCATCATTTCAGCAGAAACAAAGTTTGACAAATTCCCTCCGAAACACTAAATCCAGTACAGCTCAGTTTTGCTGCACTGCAAATGGCTTTCAGCTTTAAGTAACAGCATACTGGGGCAACGGTTATGGAAACAGAAATTCATGCTAGACACGCACAGTGTGAAACTTTTTCAATTCAGTGATTACATAGCAGGGGTATGACATGCAGATAGCTCACATTCTTTCCTAGCCATAGTGATTTCTGACCCAGAACATGAGCTGCTTCTCCGGACAGTTGAGAAGTCTGTATACTGCATCTGGTCTCTAAAACTTCTGCTCTTATTCTGGATGCTTGGGCAGAGAAAGTCTCATTTGGGTATCAACRCTAGTATCCGCTTATATATTAGAAAGTTAGACATTTAAATCTACTTTAATGCACTTTTATACATTTGCTATACTGTCAGAAATATGTTTTATCTTCTTCTCTCAGTTTTTGAATAAAAAGGCAATGCTCACAAGCGCTTCATAGTTACAGCTTCCACCACGAGCKCCCACTATAGAGCCTGGCTTTGAGGACTTACATTCCAAGGCAGCTTGAAGCAATTCCCACTGCTGCAGTGCTGAGCCCCCAGTAAAATGCAGGGCCGAGCACTGCCAAATGGGCAGCTGCAAAGAGGCCGTGCTGCCCTGCTAGCCCGTTTGATGTCGATGGGACACAAGGGAGGAATTCGASAGAGAAGAGCTAAGCGTAACCGCAGAAGGGCTGCGATGCCTCTAAAATGTTTTGTGTGCATTGTATGCATTTGTTGCTAGTGTGACTTCCATAGACACAACAGTGCTAATCTCCTCACTTGGAGGACAAGAGTGTGTGCAGTGCGGTCTCAGTGTGTAATTTTACCTTGCAGTTGCAAAGAAAAAAAGAAAGATCTTCAGGCAATAGTTTTTGCATGYTTCTCTCATGTTATTTTGCAGCATCGATTTTTGTAACTTTTAAAAACAATGCTAAAGCATTTTTAAGATGAGTGAGTATTGCCATGGTTTCTTTTCTATGTTACTCTTACCACATACATCTATTTCACTGGATGTGTTTATCAGTTCCCAGGGCAACAGTTTTCAGACGTAACATGATTACCTGTATCACACCAGACATCAGAGATGTGGGCAAACCTTGGAAACTTCTAAATTGAGGAAATGTTACCAGTTGCTAGGAGGCAGGACTTCTCCAAAGCTGTCTGAATGAAAAGGCTGACATCATATGCGTCTGCCAGTGACTTTAAAAATGTCACTAAATGATGAAGCTGCTTAAAATCTGTTTTACTCTAATACATAAAAGAAAATAGATATTGCAATAATACATTATTATAATTCTACCAATGTGATCATTTATAATAAAACAGGTTTTATAAAAGCTTTCCAATTTTTATTTAAAATGAAAATTATTTAAATTCAAATAAATTTATTTAAATTACATTATTGAGGCATAGCTGGTATGTGCCCACAGCTGTGTTCTAAAGCTTAACAAGGTGTTCAGAGTTACAGAATCTGAAGGCCAGAAGGCCAAATCAGAAAGGTCTCAGAACAAAATTTTTCCCTTTAAAATCTGAAAGTTTCACATATATCTTTACTGAAAGTAGAATGGGACTGAGAAAKGCACACTGGACTTGGAGTCTGTTGTAAGTATCATCTATGAATAAAGTCCAACACTGGGYGCACTTTGTAGGAATCCTATCCATCCTATATGCACAGCACACAGACAGGAGGATCTGTAATAACATCCAGATTTCAATATACCAGAGGGATCCAGTTCGGAAATATCGCAGGCATGTGGCTACTCCGCGGTCACAAGGCCAAGGGTGAACAACTGCTCAGGTTGTCCCATGGCAGCCATAACACTTCCCTCTGCATGTATGAGTTATAAAGAATTTAAAGTTAAATATGGACAGCCACTCGCACAGGACACTCTGGAATCATGTATCTTAGGATGAAAAGTATAAGTGATGACCGATCTTGGTATTTTTGGCTGTTGTCCAAATCTCTGAAATAAGCAGCACATCTAAACTGCTATAATGTAAGGTCTGGTCCAAAGGGAATGGCTATTTTTGTGCTGACTTTACATTTATGAAGGAAAGAGCTGTAAAATACTTGCTTCCAGATCCCATTTTCATTCTGGTCTCCTTTTCACTGCTGTCAATCAATAACAAAAACAATCTTAGGGTAGATGCAGTGATAAAGAATTGTAAAGCTGACTCGTAGTTCCCACTTGGTTCCCRCTTGTTTAATGCTGGTGTTTTCCATTCTCTGCAAGGAGAAACCAAGGAAATCCCAAAGCAGCTTCTGAACTTGTTTCTAGAGCAGAGGAGTGATGATCAGACTCTCGAGTTCACTCGGCAGAGGGTGTCTGGTGAAGGAGGTAGGTGGAGYATTTCCCCCGAGCAGGGAGTTTTCCACCATCATCAACATGGCATGGAGGTCTCTGCTACCTCCTCTGCTAGCCTCCAGCTTTCCCAGGGRGAATGGCAAGAATACTTTGGAGGCAGGGAAAGACAGGGCTTGGCTATGCCTTCCCTTTTGATATAAGGAAACATTTTTAATCCTGTACTTTAATTGCTCCAGGTCCTGGGCAGCTTCACATAGGTGAACTGCTATTGATTGTCTACAACTACCACTCATCACAGCAGCTACTGTTGTTGTGATCTGCAGACTGCTAACATTGTAATATAAGGAGCTCTGTTTTATTGCTCAGTTTTACTACTTTCAGTAGAAATGCATTTCATCTAAAAGCTGCCYTTTTTTTTTTTTTTTTTAMCTTCACACTCTATCTGTATATTAAAGTGGTCCTATTTGAGTGTATCTTCTTAGCTGGCAACAATCTTGTTCATCATARCCACCTTCATCTTGACCCATCTTCTTCCAGTCTTCTTCACTGTTTTGTCCCATTCTCCAAACATGTACTCACGGCTTTGTTATTTTATGTGATTCTGCCACCTTTGGCAGATGTGCAGAAGTCTACCTGCCTCAGCACTTGCTATCACGTACACTGCTCTCCAGTTCGGTACCTCACTTCAGTACCTCAACTGTTTCACTTTCACGAATTCTGGAAGTAGATCAAGGCCTTCCTGCTTTTTAGTCACATGCTTATTTTCATGGTTATCAGATAAAGCAACAACTCAAGACTCTGAGGAGGAAAATCTGTAGGTGAATGACAGAACTGCTACCAAAAGACCTGATATTCTTAACTGGAATTTTCTTTCTACTATTTTCCATAGCTGATGAATCCATGGAGATCCATCCATCGAAGCGGGGGAGTATTTTGTTGCAGAAAGATATCTTTTCTACCCTCCATTTTTAGTTAAAAATTCTTCCTCCACCAAAGGCTGGTAGGAGGTAGGASTATCTCCAGCAAAAGAAGTTGCTACCACAGGCGGTATGAGCCAGGTTCAAAGGAAAAATAAACACTCCACAAATCCACCCAACAGGCTTCTAGGAAGCTCCCCCAAAACACGAATAACTTAGGAAATTACTAAAGAAACAGTTTCACTTCTTTTCTTAAAAGAACTTCTTTACGATCTAAACCTGCAAACAGAGGCACAGGAGAGTATCTTTACTTGGGTGAGCTAGGTAAGCCACAGAACAGTGTGCAGAACATTACTCTTCGGCTTTTATATAGCTGTAAATATATGCATCTGTCTGATCTTTGCTATTATAAATTAACTGCTTTTCAGTGGAAATAGGTCTTTGAGTCATCCCTTCCTTTTTTATTTAGCAAAGCAATTTCATCGTGTTAAGACAATCTAGAACGGTTTCACCAGCTATTTCCTTCCTTCCTGTTCTGCCAGCRGTGCAGGCTTTGAAATGGCTTTTCAGAAATGCCATTGCACACTAGAATCACTACCGAATAAATAAATGTATAAAATAAACACTTAGGCCCACACAACTGCCAGGGGGTGTTAGCACGGCCATGCAGCTCCCACCATGGCCCTACACCCGCAGGGGGCCCTTCGCCGTGTCCCACGGCAGGGAACAAGCTCCCTAATGTGTGATGTTCCCAGCTCCCGACCCTGCACCCTCAGCGAGGCCCTTCGCCGTGTCCCATGGCAGCGAACAAGCTCCCTAATGTGTGATGTTCCCAACTCCCAATCCTGCACCCCCAGCAAGGCACTTCGCTGTGTCCCATCGCAGGGAACAAGCTCCCTAACGTGGGATGTGCCCAGCTCCCGACCCTGCACCCCCAGCGAGGCCCTTCACTGTGTCCCATGGCAGGGAACACGCTCCACAGGAGCAAGGCGCCTGCGACGCCATTGCAGTGCCCAGGAACTGGTGTTGCTCCTGCCTGAAGCTGCTGCCCGGGAGCTTCTTGGGGGCAGCAACGCCAGCCATGGCAGCCAGTAGTTTCACCGGCCGGTTCCTAAGCTCCATTTTGGGTTTAATAAGCGACTGGCGGGGGCCGAATTGATCAGCTCCTGCAGGCTGCAGCTGACACGGAGCTGTCCCCAGCTGGGCCCGCCTTGGGCTGCCAGCCCTGAGCCGCGGGAACCGTTTGCCGAGAGCTTGGGAGCAGTGGGAGGAGGGCAGCAGAAGGAAACCGAAGAGGGAGGAGGACGAAGGGCAGGCAGGMGGGAAGGAAAGAGGGCGGAACGGGCGGGCGGCGCGCGGGGAGGCGGCGCGCGGGGCGGGCCCGCAGCATGGCGCCGCTCCGCGTGCTCGAGCTCTACAGCGGCATCGGCGGGATGCACCAAGCCTTGAAAGGTACCGCGCAGCCGCCAGCGCCTCCCTCGGCGCTCGCCGCCGCCGCCGCCCGGCCGCAGGCCTCAACCGTTGGGCAGCCGCTGGGCCGGGCCGCGCCATCTTGTCGCCAGGACCCCGCGCGGGGGGTGGGGGCGCCATCTTCTCGGCGGGGCGGGCCAAGATGGCCCCGCCGCTGCGGCGCACGCCCGCGCGGGCCGGCCCGCGYCCGTGTTGCACAAGCACCGCGTGGGAAGAGGCTCGGGGCGCTGGGGAGGCCCCACGGCCCCTTGCCAAGCTAGGGGAGCGGGCAGGGCACGAAGACGGTGCTGTGGAGGAGGCGTTGGTGCTGGAAGGCACTGGGGAGGGTGGCCTCTCCGGCCCGACCTGCGGTCAGGGGCAGCTGCCACCACGATGAGCCTCAAAGCGGGAGGGATGTGGCTGTGTGTGACAGCGATTGGCAGGTGGTCCATGGCTAGCAGTGTGTCAGTTAGTGGCCTGTGTGGATCCCTGCAGGACAGGCGGCCTGTCGGGAGGCCATGGTGTCAGTGTCAAGACTGGGTGCCCCATGGTGCAGGCGCCAGGGCTGGGTGCCCCATGGTGTGGGTGTCAGGGCTGGGTGCCCCATGGTGCGGGCGCCAGGGCTGGGCGCCCCATGGTGTGGGCGTCAGGGCTCCGTGGGCCCATGGTGCCAGTGGCTGCTCCCCACAGCACCGTGTTGCGCTGGCCCTCCTTCCCTGGAAAGGAAAGCTGAACACGGAACAGGTGTAGTGACCTCGTGCAAGTGTTCTTGATCTGGTACCAGGAAACCTGGAGCTGAATTTACTGAATTCTTAAACTATGGCCTGGATGGCATTCCGTGAATCCTGTGAATTCTCCATGACTTGGCTTCCCCAAATAAAATACTGAATTRGGGGTATTGATCCCTTTTATAAAGTACATTGAGCAGTACTATTGATCCAAGCAGAGATTTCAGCACAAATCTGCATAGTTTATGAGAACACTGTAGTAATTCTGTTCTTAACTACAGTCCATCACATACTCCGGTCTTCACAGGCTGTGGTATCCTTTTGTTATACTGTACAAGAGAGAGCATTTTCTTGAAACACCAAGTCAAAACTCATCTTTTTTTTTTTTTTTTTTTGCCAGTGAATGATATATTATTGAGAGATATGCTTATAGAGGAGAATCCATTTGTTATCATTCATTCATTTAAAGCATACTCAGTTTGCTGTGTGGCCTTCTGTATATTTTTGTATATTTATAATATGTGTAATAACACAATATATAGTGCATATAATATGTGTATATATATAAAATAATRTTCCTTCCCCTTTGTCTTGCTGCTGGGGCATTAGGAGCAGTGTTATACTTGATTTCCATAGGGAGTGAGCTGGTTCTTGAAGGAGCCTCCCCCGTAGCCCTGCATGCAGCTATTYGTCATGTGTTGGCGTTTGCATGTATGGAAACAGAACGTTGCCTAATGTTATCTGGCGCTGCCCTTAACACAATAATCGACATCTCGTGACTCTGCTGCAGTAATTAAGAAATTCTAATGTCACATGGAATATCATGTGGCCATCAATCTCCAGCTAAAAACACTTTTTATGATAGAGCGCAGCAAGATGCTTAACAGATTGCGGCATATTTTGAATGTGGCCTGAAGAGATTATCAGAATATTGTAAACTTGGACCAGAAAGCTGCGTGGACTGATGGATGCCACAAGGGCAGCTGCTGTGCATGAGGTGGCCCTGCTGTGTGTCCTGCCTGCGTGCCTAGTACGGAACGGAGGGGATCGGAGCATCCTGAACCCTGCCCACAAAGGGCAGATTTCTTTCCAAATTTTGCTATTTCTGAAGCTGTCGTAGAATTGTGTCACTGTCATTGCATGATATAATTTACATTTTGTGCTTCTGGACTTACATTTGAATGAAGAAATTGCAATGCATATTAATAGTGTGGGTGAAATTTGGGGTCTTTTAGGGGCAAAGGGTCTTTGGTAGTGATACCAGCCAAGGCAGGCATAGGGACCTTGCATAGGAGACTTRCATTCCTGTTTGCATTAGATAGTACTAACCTGTTAAGTACCAATTTAAATTTGGTATTTAAAATTTAAATGTAAAGTTTTGGTATTATCAAATTACTATTATTATAACATTATTATTATCATCAGATTGATAATACTTTATTATTATCAAATTGATACAACACTATCGTAGCTGGCTTAGCTTATTTTTGACTCTGCTTATTTTTCTGGGACCTGTGTGACAGAAAACACAACAGCCATAGGCATTCTGTTACCCTATTTCCATGACTCTAAAAAAGTGTAAAGTCTTACATTTCTAGGTGAGAATATAATTTTGAATGTTTTTAAAACTAATAGCCAGGCAACTGGAACAAAGAGGGTTCTATATTATTTCCCCTGAATTAAGTATTTCATGACAAGTCATTATGCAAGACTGTTTTTGAGGTGAATTGCAGTCAGGAATAATGCCTGATAAAGTCAGGCATTTTGATCTGTTTCTCTTTAAATGTCTTTTAATCATCTGGATTCAATTTTTGTAAAAAGTAAGAAGAAGCAAAGTAAAGGCAAGGGGAATTTAAATGTTTGCTTTCAAATGGGCAAAGCATATGCTTCTTTGTACATAATAATAGGGTTTCTTATATGTTTTAGGCTTGTGTGTATACATGATACCATGGTATTTGAAAATATACAATTTTTGGATGTCATATGGCAAATGGCAGATTGTTTGGCAGCTTCCATTTAAATTAAACACTGAAATATTGTAGAGGCTTTTATATATGTTACAAAGCCTACAAGAGAATCCCCTATTTCATTAGTTCTTTCATAAGCCAATTTCTCAGGAAATGAAGGGTATATGTTGTACTGCATCGTGTTTATTTGATTTCTGATAAAAGCATAGACATGAGGGAASGTAATAGGAAATTTTAGAAAAGAGAGTTGAGAATCCTTCAGTGGAAGCCCTCCAGAAAATACATTTATTCTACAAAAGGGATCCTGCTGTTCTCCCAAGCTGAGTGTCCGTGTTGATCCTAACCACGTTAGCACCAAGTTATGTTTAGCAGAGCTAGTCCAGGTTCGTGTTTTTCTGTGATTTTGTCAATGTTTTCAGTTGGCTGTAGGTATTTTCCAAGAAATCTGATGGTGCCTTTTCTGCCTTGGTGACCTTTTGGGCTGTGAGCTTTCATAAAAYGAATTTCAGGATTGCGTGTGTTTGAATTTACAGGATGAGGAAGTTTCTGGTTTTGATAATTGTCATTAAATTAAAATAGATKTGTCATCAAGAGGTATACAATTGGTTTTGAGATGGTAGTCTTACAGATTAAGGTTTAAGTTGAAATCTCCACTGAGAAATAACTTAATTATTGAAGATACACAGAGGTTTAGATCCCAGCCTGTAGCCCAGCTAATAAGGGGAAGTTGCTCGTGCCCCGCGGAATCAGSTTTTCTTTGGCAGTGATGTAATGTAAATACTAATCCTAAATGTAAATACTAATCCAGAACTCAGAAAGAAAATACTCTAGGGATTGACTAGCTCAGGGACAGTTACGGGTAGATAATTCAGCATGTGCAGAGTTTCTTGTTTTAGAATTTGACACTAAAAAATGATATGTTCAATGACAAAGATATAACAAAATTTAATTTAGAAAACTGAACTTAATTAACTTTAAAAGAGGAACCCTGACAAATCTGAGATTGTGATGCAGAATATTCAACTTCTAGACTTATATTTATCTAGACTATTTATAGACTTAGATATGTTCTTTTTCTCTCTAATCCATGTTCGGGACTGACTKTGTGTGTTCGTGCCTATTTGTGGGTATAAGCAGGTGAATATTCCTGTCAGGTGCCTTTCTGCTTGAAGGATTGAAGCCGCTATGAGGTGGGAGTACATCTCTTCCCTTGGAAGATATATAAAGATAGATGTTTAGATCATATATGTCAAAACCTACAAGATTACATAGAGTTTGCCTATATATAAAGTACAAAGAATCTACATTGAAAAGTGCCTTTTCTCTTTTAGAAAATCTATGAGTAGAAATTCATTTCCATAGCAACTTTCSATCAAATAAACAACCTGCTCTTTTTCCCAAACTAAAACAAACTTAACGTGGCCTATTAATTTAGGCAGTTTTCCCATGAAAAAATGTATTCCAGGGCTCTGCCACAAGCATTTATAGTCTGGCAGGTCACAAAAACAAACATTTCCTTTTCCTTCCCTCCCCTGCAAAAAAAAACCCCAAACACTCAAACCTCTTTGTGCATAAAAACTGCACAGATAGCTTTTAAATAGTGATTTTGCAGCGATAAAGTTAGTGATAGTTTTCTTGTGTAACATTTACATTTTACATTTAAATTTTAAAGGATGAGAGTTTGAGTCCTTTGGAGTCTTCTCTGTTTGTTTTAATTCATTTGATTTGATTATTTCATTGTATTGTGCATCACACTGAACTGATGTATGCACTATCAGTGAGCACAGCTGTACTCGGTAGGAGGCAAAGAATATWCCTAATTTGTACTGCTGAACATGCACAAATTGTGTGTGAATAGATCAGGGAAAAAGAAGTTGCCCAGTATCCTGCAGGAAGCGAGTACCAAGTTTCCTGATAATGGTGTTGACTGTAGCCATGGACGGCCTAATCTCTTCAGCYGAGAGCTGACAGCTCAAATGAAATCTTTGCTGCTTATTTTCAAAGGAAACAGAACTGGCACAATATGTGACTAATCTCCCCTTTTCCATCTGTTTCCATGTACCTGTTAGAACAGATAATTGCTTTGGCTGTGRTTTCCCAATATCCTGAGATCTGCCAAGCTGTTTCCCCTTGTTGGGACGCGCTGTATTTCAGGCACTGTGTTGCCATTGATGATTCTAGTTCAGAAACGCGGTGGTGAATATAAACAGATCCATGTTAATTTTAAGGTYTGGTAGAAACACATGACAAGAGAATCAATGCTTCTGAAGTGGAGAAGGACAAATATGTTAGTGTCAGAAATTTAGGGTTTGCTTATTTGAATCTGGAAGCTGGCACATGCATCCTCTCTTCTTTTTGTTGCAGATGCTGCACTCTCAGACCGCTGCAGTAGGGCTTCTTTCCCTCGAGTAGCTGCTGCATGGCTGAAATGTCTTGCAAACATCCTGCATGCAACTGAGTAGAGAACTGGGGACCAACGTTTGATTGCTGCCTCTCTGTGCAATTTAATTAATATTTACAGAATTTTCATTGTGTGGATCCTAGRCAGTTCCGTGCAATTCATTACCTTTCTGATAGGGTGACACACATTTGAATTCACCTGATACCAACCAAGAGAGAGATTATGATTTAGTCTGCCTAAAAATAGGCTCTCAGACTTCCCCTGGAACTCTGCTGGCATGTTTGTGACTTCCTTTGGAGCACTAGCATATCTTCTAGAAATACATGTCTTGGTTCAGAAATTTTCATGGGATATGTTGATGAGATGTATTGTAAATCAAATATCCCAGCTTTTAAGTTTCACTTAAGTATATGTTTTCTTTAGTCTGTCTAAAATTTAGCTGTTTTGTGCATAGCTATAGTTCTCTTAAAGTGTTATTTTTTTGAAATTTGAACTTAACTCTTTTTCCAAATGTCTCCACACCAAGTTTATTTCTTCATTAGTGTTGCAGTAAGTTCTTYGGGGAAGTACGTTTAACATCTTGCTAAGTCAGAAGTTTGGGGCATGTAAGTATTTCTAAGTAGTTTTTATATCAATTTTGGGGTAAGGGAGGAGTTAAAAGATAGCCTTGATTCTGTTTTTGTAGATTCTGGTTTTGGTCTTGTTTATGGTATATTCTTATGTTCTTAAATAATGAAGAAATATGAATTGCCATAGCAAGATTGAGTGTCACAGTTAGCATCAAAACTGCTTATATTTTGAGAGGAGTCTTCTTTCCTTTTCAGAGTGTGTGAAATGTGCACAAGCTTTTTCTTTGTCAGGTTTCTTGGGCTAGATGTACTTGTCTACTCCAACTTCCTCATGCTTTTACAGGGTATTTCCACAGAAATATGTTGGTCAGCTTTTAAAAGGAGTCTGTTCCGTACCAGGAGCTCCTGAGTGACAAAGAGCTGCTATCTCCAAAGGAGGAGAAGCTTTGGAGAAATGCCAGGTCTGTGAGTTAGGAAGAGAGGCTGTTGGATGGAAGAGTTCAGGAGAAGTTACTATCTCTTTTCTGAGACCTTTCTTGTTTAGGTTGAAAATGGTATTGCAAGAGCTTTCAATAAATTATTAGTTATGTGTTCTCTTTCAGTGTTTCCAGACATTTGGGCCCATGAAATTTCCTTAACCTGATGTTAAGGAAATAAAGGATTCTTAACATCAGGATTCCTTTGAATCCTTTAACATCAGGAAATAAAGGATTCTTTATTTCCTTAACATCCCTGATCCCTGCAAATCCCTGATGTTTCTTTTTTCTTGCAAGGGAGAGATTGGAGTGCCAGTAGTAGTTAAATGGATAGACTTTGGAAAAGTGATGGACATTGAAATAGTGAGTTGTGGGGGAAAGCGCAGTGTCTGCCTTTCCGATTGCAATAGGTAATAGTTTGCAATAGACAGTAGTTTGAGACTCTTGATTTTTAAATTTCTTTCCTGAGRTCCTAGAACACGTGGTAGAGATCTACCTGTCAGAGCTGCAGGTCTTGAAAACTGAAAGAATAAGTAAGAGCCTGCTTTTAGTCGGTGCTTGAAGTTTGTGTTTTTACCTAAGTGTTGCAGGTTTGGTTTAGGAAGATGAGAGGCAAGTTCGGACTCTAGAAGGCTCCTGTAGACAGCTACGCCGTGGCTGTGCTCTACACGCTAGGTGTCAGTGTTAACTTACCTGTTCTGTAGTCCCAGGTGTGCTCGTTCTGTTGTCGCTGCGGGCACACCTGTGTGTAATATGCTCAGTTAAAACTCACGATCAGAATGTCAAGACAGCAACTTGTGTGTTTATGGTGATTATGCAGATGTTTTACTGGTGGTTATGTCTTTTTTTTTCCTATTTTTTTCCTATCTTAGCTTTTTCCTTGTGGACCTTTCCYGGTGGACCCCAAACAAGCCTTCAGGGCATGAGCCCAAATGTTTTTTCAGGTCCTTTCTGAGGCTTTTAGTACAAGAGCATACATACCCGCCCCCCGAATTTAATTTATTGATGCTCTTTTGCTTGCAAAGAGCAGTGGTTTGCTTCTAAAACACCATCTTTGGATTCTGTGCAACRAGTTTTCCTTAGTGGCTAGGGAGGCTCAGTCAGTTGCTGAGCCACATTCCTAGGGTAAGGAAGTCTGTTGCCACAGAGACCAAGGGCYGGCGGGTGGGAATGCTGTGGAAATAGACCCTGTTTGGAGTTTACATGTGCCAGGAGCTGCGAATTAAGTTGTGCACAGTTAGTGTCCCTTTTTGGATATTTAAGGAAGAAAAGTATTGATCATTCAATTAATAATCTGTTATATATTTCCTACAGAGTTTTAAATGCAGCCCAGCAAAGTTTGCTCATGTAATTTCCATTTTGTTTTTGAATATAGCTATAATGCAGCTGAAATACCTCATTCTTCTAGGGTGGAAGAGCAAAGCTACAGTTCTCAAGTTCCTCTTTTAATTTTAGATAGCTGTGTGTCTGCAGAAGTTGTTGCTGCTGTTGATGTGAACACTCTTGCCAATGAGGTTTATAAACACAACTTTCCCAGCACGCCACTATGGGCAAAAACAATTGAGGTGAGTAATGAATGTCTTTTCTCCTCTAGTCTGGCATCTTTAGAATTAAGTTGTTTGTCAGCTGTTTACCACATTATTAACAAGGAGAAACAACATAATTTATGGCATGGGGAAGGTTACAGCCTTAAAGTAACTTTGACTTCTTGTAAGCACTATGTTGCTTGCAGATGTAGAGACAAAACAAGAGTGAGATCGTCTCCTGAAACTCTTGATTACTGCATCAAGGAAGGTTACGTGAATGTCAGCAAGAATGCTTACCCATTCTAAAGGAATGACAAAAATCATATTTTTAGATTAAAAAAATATTTTCATGCATTTGAAAAGAATTTAATTAAATCACTAGGAGGCATGTCTTCTTTATGCAGTTATTGCTGAGCTAAGTAAAGCACAGGAAAATATACTGAACAGGATGATACTCATGTTTTTGTGGACTTCAAAGATAAATGTTTTAGTAATTTTGTCCCGTTTCCAAATTTTTGTAGAAGAATTTGGTAAAATTGGCTCTTGTTTTAATACCCAGTTAGAGCAGCAATCTAGATTTTTTTTTCCTTAGTGTAGTTAGAAGTTACTTTATAATTTCATTTTACAGTTTTACAATACAACAGTAAAAGATTCTGAATTTGTTTTAAAGCAAAGCTAAAGAAAGAATTAAGTAGGTGGCTAAAGGTTAGCTGCTTATTCAGCATTTGGTGATAACTAAAGATAGTTTACGATTTTATATGAGAAAAGAATATTCACCTATATGTCATTATAATAGATAACAGTTGATTACAGTTAGTAAGAGTTTAAATGTATTGGAAAAATAATCAGCAGCTTTTGCCTCGTTTCTGCAGACAATTACATTACATTGTTCAAAGATGCCTAAATAATTAAAGCAATGATTTCTTTGTCTACCTTGTAGTTACTTGATTATTAGCTTTTAAATCTCTTTTTGGTCCTTTAGTATTTTGATCTTCTAGTGTTGGTAGCCTAGGAGCTGTGGTGCTCTTTGGGAGCATACCTGCATTTACATGGTCTGGGTGGGAAAGTCTCCTGAGCTTTCATGAAGATCTCCTCAGCAAAGCCCTTTTATCCAGTCTTTGATCAAAGACCTACAATTTGAACCTGTATAGAAAATTATCACTTGAGGCATTTTTCCGTTCAGATATTTTGTCACTTGAGAAGATAAAAATATTTTTCACCTGTTTTTGATATTTTAATAAATGTTGAATTATGAATAATTAATGTCTGATTAATGGTACTTTATGTGGCAGATGGWTGGGGAGAATATCTAGTCAATGGTTTGATGTGGTCTGTTGAAAGAACCACAGACTACCACCTCTCTTCTGAAAGACTGCTTACATTAAAAAAAGATTGTGTGTGGATAGTGAAAAGATCAGTGGTTCTGATTCATTGTCAGAGCAATTAGGGCATATTTGTATTCTGTGGTTTGCCATGCATTAGGCAAGAATTAAGTTATTAGGGAGATTAAGGACTGGAGCATCTATCAGATGAGGAAAGACTAAGCGAGCTGGGCCTGTTTAGCCTGGAGAAGATTGAGAGGAGATCTGATCAATAGGTATTAGYACCTGAGGGGAGAATGTAGGGAGAAAGGGGCCAAGCTCTTCTCAGTGGTGGCCAGGGACAGGACAAGGGGAAATGGGTGCAAGCTGAAACACAGGCAGTTCCATCTCCAGGTGAGGAAGAGCTTCTTGGCTGTGAGGGCGACAGAGCCCTGACACAGGCTGCCCAGGGAGGCTGTGGAGTCTCCTTCTCTGGAGATCTTCCAAACCCGCCTGGATGCCGCCCTGTGCCCCGTGCTCTGGGTGTCCCTGCTGGAGCAGGGGGTTGGACTAGATGATATCCAAAGGTCCCTTCCAACCTCAACCATTCTGTGATGCTGTGATTCTGTGTGGGATTCTGTGATTTGGGAGTTTTTACTAGATATCTTAGAAGTAATGGGATAGTTTGGTCTGAAGGGAGAGTTAGAAGTACAGTGCAGTTTACAGCTCCCATTTTCCCCCCTTTTCCAGGGCATAACACTGAAAGAATTTGACAGATTATCTTTTGATATGATTTTGATGAGTCCTCCCTGTCAGCCATTTACAAGGTAAGCATAGCACATTCAGAGGAAATAGTGTGTCTTCTCTGTCAGTGAAATTTGAGGATTTTCCACTTGATATGCATTTTCTTTCCCTTATCAATCTGATCTTTCCCTGGAGTAACTCCAGAAGAAGCATTGGAAATCCTCTGTTTTATGTGTGACTAAGAATGGAGTGTGTTCCTACTTGTATATTAAAAATTGCACATGTGTACAAATAGTTAATTCTGAAGAATATTCCTATTTTAGCCTAGATAAGAGGATCAGAGTCATGGATATACACATTATGTTTTCTAAATTTTATTTTTACAAATGTGCTTGTGTGGACATATATATAGGAATCATAGGAATTTTGGAATTTTCCTTTTTTTTTTTTTTTTTTTTTTTCTCTTTTTTCTCTGTCCTGCTCATTTTTTTTTTTTTTTTTATAGTATGGTAAGAAGAAAACTGTACTTAAGTAATTTAGAGACGTACCAATGCTCCTCTGTCAGGGTCTTATTCTTTTCAAGAGCTGATACAGATGTAAGAGGAACACGGGTCTGCAGTAATTAAGCCACATAARCAGCCCAGCTTAGTGTTACGAAATTAGTTCCATTAGCCAAGTTATTCACAAAGGGCTCAATCCTGCAAAACTGGAGCAGTAAAGCTTTAGTTCATAGAGAACACTGGACATATTGAATGTGTAATAGCCAAGTATTTCCAGGGACTTCAGTGAGTTTTCTGGTGGGTTCAGAATGACCAAGGGTTTTGCTGGCTAGGATGAAATTACTGAACRCTCTGGGGAGTGCGTTTCCTTGCTGAATGCTGTCAATTCTGACCTCGCTGGAGCTGATGGATTTCAGGGCAGACTTTCACTCCTCAGAGCACTTCTTAGGACACTGCCCCTGTGAGCAGGTCCTCATGGCTGCACACGATGGTTAGTGCAGAACCCCTTCTAAAACTCAATGGGAGAAGTATCAGCATTCTGTAGAAAAATGAAAGTCAGATGATGGTCTATTCCAAATAATATACAAATATTTCTTTATTCTTTCATAGAATTGGTCTGCAGGGTGATGTATCTGATCCACGGACAAAGAGTTTTCTCTATATCCTTGATATTCTGCCAAGGTATAAATTAACTTTACTAGTACTATGGGTTAATCAYTTATTTGCACATGACTGTATGTAACTTATGTAACCATTATCATTGTATGTGTCTTTCTTTACTGTATATTTGTTTAAACTGTGACTAAATGAAAAAGGCTGAATCTTGTTTATTTTCAGTTATACTCAGTTCCACACAAAACTTCCATGTTTTGAASAGATAACATTTGAAAGGATTTGATTAAATCTCTTACTGGCTCCAAAACGCAGTGCATGTTCCTTCCCCTTTCCTTCTCTCTCAGGCTGCATTCTGGCCCTTCGGTGCTGCCTTGGGGCAGGTTGGGTATATTCAGATTATTGTACAGTCCCTTGAGTAGTCAACCCAGAAGTTTCAAACAGGACTGATGTGTCCAAACAGCCCTGTGCTCTCTGTGCTCATCTACCACCTCTGTTGTCCAGAGCCCCAGTTCCTAATAAAATAGCCATAATCTTGGATATTATTCATGCACTCTCTTCTGAAGCAGTAAATGCGAGCACGGTGTGCATCCCTGATCTAAAGTATTCTTCGCCCTCAGAGCTGGAGGAGAGGTCTTGCTGCCTTATGCTTTTTTGCCTTTTTTTTCCCCTACAAAAGCTTAGCACAGAAAGAAACCAGCACCAKCACCAGACTTCCTCTCGATCTGCTGTTACCTCTAGCAGAAGAGGGTCTTCTCCCTCCGTCCAGAAACAGCTTTGCTGCAGCCAGCAGCCTTAGTCAGACACCCTCCCTTCCCGTGCCTGTATGAGATGGAGAACACAGACACCCGTGAGTCATTTGGCTGAGGTCTCCCAATAAATCTGGGGCAGAAAACACAAGAAAGCCTATGTTGATATTCTGTAGTCCAGTGAATTAGACAAACAATAAATATAAAGCAAGATTATTATTACTCCCTCTCTTTTGTTAGAGACAGAGGAATAGGTACCTTTCTAAAAAAGCTTTCTAAAAAATTGCAAAGGGTTTTTTTGTTTGAACAAGAAACATAGCCCACACCTTCTGCCTGACCTTTCCAAATGTTAAATTAAAACCAGTAGATAGTCTCTGAGTTAATGATTTGTCAGAATATTAGCATCTTCCTTGTCCCTAGGGGGATCCTGACTTCACTGTTCCTTTCCATTAGGCTGAGGCCCATGTAAGAGGACGGCTGTTTTGGGGCCGCTCTTGTGCAGATGGAGCTTCCTGGTCGTGGTGGGCTTAGCTGCAGAGAGGGCTGGAGCTTTCCCTTCATGGGAGCAGAGGTTCAGGCGCTGCAGGACACGTGTTCTTCACTGTGACCACGACCATGACCATGCAGAGACTCTGGGCTCCTCTCTGCCTTTATCTGGGTGCCCCACGAGGCGCTGCTGACATCCCTTATCTCCCCTGGGCAGGTTGGTTCTGTGAAGCAGCACTTGGCTGTAAGCGGCCTCCAATATGCTCAGCGTGGTGGTTTCTGCAGTTTCCTACGTCCAGCCAGTTTATGTTCTGCTGAGATAGGGTTTGTGTGTGTTTTGGAAGTGACGTCTTTGCCACGCATGGGCTGTGGAGTGTGTCAGGCTGAAAAAGGGGAAATGGGGGATATAGAGATTATCGCTTCCCATTCTACCTTGGAACGGCGTGCATGCACTTTGTGGAAACTGTAAAATAATATCCTGTCCCTTGTGTCTCGCTACATGATGATCAGCTCTTTGTAAGGAAATGTGGCATAAATGAAACTCAAACATAGACTGAGAAGAGTGACSTTGAATGCAAGGAAGGGACAAGTTTGGGGCCTGAGTGCTTGGGAGTGAATGCTGTTCACTCTAGCCAGTACATAGCAAGTGGACTCAAATGGTTGGGATACTATCTATTTATTGTGATCAAGCAGTAAAATCTAATGCTAAAGCGTCAAAATTTGACAGAATGTTAAAACCTGCCAAGTACTTAACACATCCTCCCTGTGCAGTGCTTATTTTCCATGTCAGCTGTTGATTCTGTACCAGCTCTTGCATTTCTGCGTGTGCTCTGCAGTCATTACTTTAGAGATAAGCTTCATAGCAGGTGAGGGAGGTGTTGTTTAGGGGTGAACATACCAACAGGTATAGTCTCCCTTCTTCTCCATGGAATCTGGATGATTCTTCTTCTTTTATAGTTCCCTACTATTTTTAGCATTTTTTACATTTTACTTAGTATCTTACATATTCCCTAATTCCTTGTGACGTGATTTAGTTTTTTTAGTTCTTCTTGTGAGTTTCTTCAATTGATGGCAATTGAGAATGTGATAAAATAAGTTCTGCTGTGATTTACATTGGTGCAAGTCTGAAGTCCCTCGCTGACTTCTTCCTGGCATCATTTCAGATCCCATGTGTGGCACGCAGGCCATGTCTGTTAGCCCTGCTAGAATATTAATCAGTRTAGAGAACATGCCTAAACACTCAAATCTGAATTGTCTCTGCTTTTAAATTACTAGGATGGTCCCATGGTTTTGGCATCTTCCTTTCTCCAGAGATTTAGTAGATTCACTCCAGAATCAACGTATTCCAAACTTCTGCACCGATACCACTCAACCTCAGGAGCCTCCTTTCCCTCCCCCTGCACATATAAAAATGTGAATTATATATATCTGCTGTTTGATCTCTGAAAATGTAGTATTTCTTCAAAGCAACTGAATGAGTACCATTTGTGATAGCATTAAACTTGATGTCACATTTTGACATTGATTTCAGATTTTGTGCACTCAAAAAAATCCTGTTCTAGGGATGAATGATACTTGGAATACCATTCCATATTTCATAAATGGAATGATATTTTCCCTTGACAATTTTCAGTCTTTTCAATAAAAATATTGTGCTTCAGGAAGTGAACAGTGCTAAACATTTTCAAAACTATGTGCATATGACAGAGATGGGGTAGTGAGTATTCCATCTAAACAAAACCGGAATTTTTTGGAGGGGTGTTCTTCCCAACAGCAGTGCCCATTTCCARTTCAGTTGGGTGTTACTCCATCTAGGCCACCTTGAAAGTGCATTTGTTGGGGATTGCCGTTTGCCACTAGCCTGGCATGCAAGTGATCTTGTTTTACAGCTTTGTCTGGTAATACAGCATGTAGTTTACACCTACCTCCTGTGGCCTTTTTTTCTTGTAGACTCCAGAAGCTTCCGAAATACATTCTCTTGGAAAATGTTAAAGGATTTGAATCTTCTTCTGCAAGGTGAATTCTAACTTACACATGCGTTATCTTTTTAATAAAGGACATTTTCTGAGAGGTGAAAGCAGGATTTTTATTTCCTAGAAATTAAGAAGACATAGGGTGACAGGAGGACAGTTAGCAGCTGTGGATTAATTGTATCTTTTAAATTTAGGAAAGAAAATCTTAGGATTTGAAAGGAGTTTGCTGAAAGATTATTTCTTTAAGCAGCAGAGATAAAATATGTTACAACTTGAACAAATTAACTCTGTTGTTCATCTTCCATGATCTTGTATCCTTTAGAAAGGAAGAGTGTTCATTTTCAAAGAAAACAATAAAAGTGTGTAGCACTTAGACTTTGCTTTTTTATGCTTGACAGGAACTCATGGCATCTTGTGTTGAGATCTGAGTGGGTTGCGCTGGCTTTGTTCAGGACCTTTCTTGTTACTGGATTGTAGCTGGTTCAGTGTTGATTTCAATGGTCAAGAGAGATGGTATGAAAATGGTTACAAGTTCAGCCTGAAATGCAGAAGAGGACACTTGGCAGTGAGGTTACCTGATGACAGCAGGAGCATTCTCCTAACTTGTGGGCAAAGCAGGAGAAAGGGAGTTGTAGTTGGAGGATTTTTTTCCTCCAAGTTTTTTCCCTTGGAGGATGAGAGGGGCCGTCAAACTACTGCTGTTGTCCCTAAAATTCCTTGAGATTTGCTTTGCTGGCCAGAGTTTGAAACAATTTGTAGCTCAGAAAACAGATAAAATTCTTGCTTTTCTTTTCAATATCTGCCAGAACTAGGTAAAAGTCGCAGCTCTTAATTTGTATATAATTGTAGCTTTCTATAGTCTGCAAAGAATAGTGGAGACAAGTCTTCCATAGGCAGGCTTTGATTTCAGTGGATTTTCCCATGCTTATTGATACAGTCCTGCCTCTCATTATCAAAGCTGCCAAGTTTTGTCATCCTTTCAGTTATGACTCCAACTAGGCTTGGCTGATGTCAGGTATGAACAGGTGGAAGTAGTGAACTGCCTGCAGCATTTTTAATTTCTTGTTCTATAGTCCCCAACGTAGAGGATGCCCTCTGGTTATTTTCCTTCYGACACACTGTAAATACTTCTGTAGAGATGGGTGCTTTTTTGAAAGAGGGTTTCCTCCAACGTAGTTATGGGCTACCTGTGAACGTGTGTTAGTCACTAGGTAGCTAGTGTAACACATCTGAACACAGGAAATTGTCTCTTCTAATGCACAAAGGGATGACTTCGGACCTGTAATTCTCTGGTTCTTTCAGTGAATCTGATGAATGTTGTTAGTGCTTAAGTTACTGCATTTCATGTGTTTTTATTTAGGATGAAAAAGGGCCTGAGGGTGTATAAGTGCTTATGAGAGGAATAATTGCTTTCTGATTCTTCTCACTGCCAGACATGAGCTTTTGCAAACACTACAAACATGTGGATTTAAGTATCAAGAATTTCTCTTGTCTCCAACCTGTGTGAGTACTGATATCACTTTAACTTTTCAAACTGTGTTGAGTTGAGGGGCATTTGGGAATCATGTGTCTGTGCTGAATGAACAGAGTGATGCCCAGTGCTGAAGATATCCTTCTGAACGAGAGAGCCCTCGGGCAAAGCTCCTGGTCCTGCCTCAGTCACACTGCTGTTTCTCTTGAGGACCCAGCCCTGTGTTGCTCTGCAATCACAGCTGGTTTTCACAGAAGCRTCAATTTACACTCTGACCAGGAAGGTCATTTTCCCAACAGGAGCCATGTGACTTCAGAAGTGCTGGTGCCCATCGTCCTTCCAGTGCAGAAAGCTCCCCTGCATTCGGCTGCTTCCCTGGAGCTGCAGAAACAATTGAGGGAGACTCCGCATTGTGCAGTTTCCTCACTGGAATGGATGCTATAGCTATTTGAGAGAAGCTTATAAAGAGTAGATGGAAAATGGGTTGTCGTGCACTGGTTTCATTGTTAGATGTCTTATATAGTTCCATGTTATATAGTTCCATGTGGCATTAAAACACTCTTTTACTTCATGGATGAAAACAGATAGTGTCTGTCACAAGAAATTGTGATGTCATTTTTTTTCTTATCCTATGTGAAAAGTTTGTTTACATTACTCATAAAATGTTTGTTCRTTTAGAGAGAAACTCAAAACCATAAAAAAAATCAATTTTTTTTTTGCTTGGGGAACCTTAGTCATGACAGTTACGTTCATGGGTTCAGTACAAGTGCTCAGGTATTATCAATTCAGTTTAATAGCTTCAAAATGGCAAGATAYGTTAGTGTGACAGTTTTATTACTGTAAATAATGGCATATAACTTTTCTGACAATATCATTTCTATTGTGACAAGATCTAGTGACCTATGACAASATGACTTCCATTCTTTGCACCATGTACACTAATGGCCTGTGGATTTTGCTTGCAGCTTGGCATTCCTAATTCTAGGCTGCGCTATTTTCTCATTGCAAAGCTTCACCCAACACCATTTTCCTTCCCGTCTCCTGGGGAGGTGAGTCTGGTTTCTATTAGTTAAATTTAGTTTATTTTATGAAGATCAAAGGTTAAATTTTCARTTCAGTGGTCTGGGGAAGAACCATTGGGATTAGGGGGGATTAACACAAAGGGTTTTTTTTCCTCGTTTTTTTGCTGAATGCAGAGTCTTCTAAGGACTGAAGTGCCTGCAACTGGCTGAGATGGCTTAGAGCAATTTGGAAAAGTTTGTGAAGGCCATTACCAGCTTGGAAACCARGGCATTTTGCTACCCCTTTCACAATGCTGGAAATGTCTTTTTGTGCAAGTAATTCTTTGCAATCATCAGCAAATCTTAATGTCAAAATCTTTTGAAATTCTCAGAAAAAGTAATAGTTACTTTATTCTGAGCATTTCTGAAGGAATTCTTACTGCAGACTCTACAGTTATTTATTGCAATATCAAATGCAGTTCTTTATTTTTTGTTTGCTCACTGTTTGTTACTACTTAGGTATTGACAAGGTTTCCAGATGAAGATCTGAAAGAATTACTGAAGGACAAAGTTGCTGACAGCCTGGATGAAGCAAGTTCTTCCTTGCTTTGTAAAGAGAAGAATTTGGATCCAAGCACTGGTCCTGACTGCAGCAGCAAGAAGAACGTAGCAAAAGGGGCCTTTCTTTTTAAGCTTGAAACAGCAGAAGAAATGGAAAGGAAGTGTAGCCAGGACAATGATTCCTCTGTTCAAGTGCTAAAAGATTTTCTGGAAGAGGATAATGAAGGAATGAGTCAGTACTTCTTACCACCAAAGGCCTTACTGCGCTATGCTCTCTTGTTAGACATTGTGAAGCCCACCTCTCGGAGATCCACATGCTTCACAAAAGGGTAAGTTACAAAGAGAGTCTCTTGCTGAATCCACTTCTTAAACTTGTGGTTTTACTTGCATGCTTGGCATGTGAAGAGAGCCATCTCATCAAAAGACAGGCCAAAAATGCTCTACTGCAGCAGGCTTCCTCGTCCACTTGAATGCCAACAGGAGAATCTGTCTGGCRGAACATCCTATGCCCACTCCAAAAACGCCTTCATAAAAGACAGAGCCATTTGTTGCTGACCTTCCCAGAAGCTTAATTACCCCTGTGSAAATATGGTTCCAGCAGACTGGTGTAGTCCTGATTCATTAATGAATTTCTTTATATTGCTCCCTGAAGTTATAAAGCGTTACATATGACAGATCCATTCCTCATTAACACCGTCTCCGCTGTGCRTTTTATTGATTTCTTGGGGTTTTCAGCTGTGTAGGTTGGAAGAGCTGTGGATGGGCCATTTCTCATAAAAGCAGCTAGGATCTGCCTAGCAGAACATCTCTGTTAGAACAAAACMCCCCGTGCTTTCCTGTCTCCTAGTTTTCTTGTTTGTGCATTGGAATGTTAAGGCTGCGTGTCCAGAAATCCCACAGATCAGGACTTAGGGGCTCTGGAGCTCCTCAGCTAAATGCCATTTGGAGCCTGGAAGTTTGTGGCAAATGAAGTTAATATCGGTGAATTTTTCAAATTAGCCTTTTTGGGATTTTTTTGAATTCTCAAGAAGTTTGAACAAAATGTTTTCTAGCTGATGATTTATTTACAACAGATCACATTCTTCCATTAGTAGAAATTAAAATAGCAGATGTTGCAAACAGATTTCCTGTAGATTTTCTGGTTTCAACCTTTTGCTGATATATAGGCAGAGGAAAAAGTCAAAATTTCAAAATGTTTGGACCAGGAGAGCCCTTCCCCAGCTCTGCTTAACGTAAGTCTTTTCTGCCCACACTGTTTTGAATTGTGGGGGAGTCAGCATGTTGTAGGATCTATTTCTGAACTAGAATAGTGAAACAAAAGCCTCAGGCCAGAATGGTCCCTTGTGTATCTCATATATTTGCCATACATGTCATAAAAAATAAATAGTCCACTTGTGGTTCCACTAGAATACGTCATGGTATTTTGTGGTCCTGTTTATCAAATTCACGCTGAAGGAGACTCCTGAGCTGGAAATGTGAAGCCTTTGTATGTCGTGGTGGGAAATCTGGTCTTGAACGTGGCTATTAGGCCTGTGCTGATTTAGGGGGAGTCAGCCCGGAGACTTGCGGTAGTTGGTCTTGGCTCCGAGCGTAAGGATCTGAGTTCCTGGCTTTGTGCCTCTCTGTATGAGCCTTTTAGAAGGACGGTTGCCAAAATGGTGCTCAGTGTGGCCATATCATTTACATCTCTGCGGTATRGATTGATTACAATTACCTTTCAGGCTTCATCCAAGCCAGCTTCCCAGCTCAGGATTGAATTGCTGCTGGGTCTATCCGTTCTGGGAATGGATTGTACCTTTGTGTGGCCCTGGATGGAGGGCAGCGCAGAAGACGCCTTGCAGAGCTGCAGGACAGTGTCTTGMACCAGCCACGCTGGGAACACTGAGAAGGAGGGAGCTTTTTTTTTGCTCCCTCACGGTTGGTCTTCAGGGGTTTCCAGCAAGGTTCACGTGTGAAGGATGACCTGGGTGTGCTGCACCCAAGGCCCTTGCTATTCTGGGACCTTCAAGCCCTTGGAGCACGAGACCTTTCTGCTTTCCGCCTATGTCATGCCAGAATATCTTGAGGAGTGGGACGCTTCGGTGCAGCATTTGCTGCAGAGCAGGGCAAAATGCAGTGGCCTGGGGTATGTGGGGGATSATMGAATCCWTAAGGTTGGAAGGGATTTTTAGAGATCATCTAGTCCAACCCCTCTGCACACGCAGGGTCACCTAGAGCACGGGGCACAGGGCTGCATCCAAGGGGGTTTGGAAGATCTCCAGAGAAGGAGACTCCACAGCCTCCCTGGGCAGCCTGTGCCAGGGCTCTGTCACCCTCACTGTCTAGAAAATTTTCCTTAAGTTCCTGTGGAACTTTTGATGCTTCAATTTCTGGCCAAAATGGCAAGAAATCACGGATCAAGCTGGTGATCTAAGACATCAGGGCAGTTTGGACACAGCTGGGGCTGTGTCTTGGTGTCTCTGGGGCATGGCCTTTGTGGTGGCTAAACTTGAGAGAGAGGCAGTGAGTCCTAAATCAGAGCAAACCCCAAACGTGCCTTTAGAGATGATTATACTGGATCTGYTTGTAAATTCTTGATAATGCTGTTAGCCACAGGAGCAATACCTTCTAAGAGAGTGTAAAATTAGTTACAGAAACTATAACTTTGTGGAAATTACCTTCTGATTAGCCTTAATACAGGACACAGTGTACCTAGAAGGGATATATTATGTGAATGAAACTAAGAATATTTTAAAAGCTTGCAGAAACAAAGAAAAAATCTAGGGTCAGGTGAAAAATGAGGAATGCAATTTCTTTCTTTATTATAATGGTAATGAGTTATCCAAAAATCAATGGACCATTTTTCACTTTGACAAAACTTCCCATATTTAATTACATTCTGAATCTGCTATGAATGCTAATTTTTTCTTCAGTCAGCAGATGCAATAATTAATAAAAATCCAGCTAATAATGGATATCTGCCTATATTTATGTTAAAAGAAAGACTACTTACTAAAATGTCAGTATGGAGGTGATTTGTTTTTAACTGTTACATTATCTTTCTACATCAAATGGATTTTTTTGGGGGGCAGTTTCATACTTTAGAAACAGTTATTTAGAAGGGTTAGAGTGGAACATTTTATATTACATGGATCCCAGGGAGAGGATCCTTTTGTCCCAGTAAAGAGAATAAAATACTAGATTGAAATTTATCCTTATGTATTTATTTAGCCTCGGATACATTAATCTGAAATATAAGATCAGATACCATAAGAATATCAGAATTCCTCCCTGCCRCATGTAAAACCTGTAAACACTGTAAAACTTGGTACTAGAGCCTTTTCAGAATTCATCTAACCAATTAAATATTACATGTTTACAAAGCAGTACAGCTTTTTTTATTTTTTTAATCTGTATTAGTGTTTTGGGCCATTTTCTCCTGATGTTAAATGAGATTTGCATATGCTTTGTTTAAAAAAAAAAAAGTAGGTCTCACTGATACTGGAAGAACTAGTCATAAACTGTTCTAAGCGGAGGAGAATTCCCCAGCTTGTGCCCTGGTGGGTCAGTGCATCTGTGCTGGGGGGAGAATGTCCMTTCCTTCATTGTGGGGCTGGAAAAGCTGGAAAGAAAAAATTGTTCCAMGTGTGTTGGTGTAGCATGAGCCCCAAATGAAATAAAAGCTCCTTCACAGCTGCCTCCAGAAACAAAGAGAAGGATAGGGATTAGTATTTGTTAGTGGCAGGTATAAAGCACCACCTTTTGATGCAGGAGATGTTCTCAAGTKCTTCCATCATGTAAAACCTTTCTGTCTTCCTGTCTCAGCCTCTTTCAGTTCAGGACATTCATGCACAATTGCTGTTTAGATCAGCAGAACATGTTCTGAAAGCCCAGCAAGGACATCATTAAATTGAAATGATAGCCTTGGAGGACTATGGAGTAAACATGTAGTTGTGTAATCAACCACAAAGGATTTTACAAAGCTATCATACAGTTTTATAACTTGGGTTAACTAACTGTTTAGTCAGATTATTTTTTCTTGCTAGCTGCCCTGCCCAGCAAGCCGACCATCTCCCTTGCTTCCTTCTCTGGCAGCCCTGCAGACAACCAAAAGCTAAATCTGACTGAACTGTTTTGTCCCTACTGGAGCTATATGCGACTTACAGATCCATACTAATGCAGTGGTCCTGTCCTGCTTGAAGTATGGAAAGCCTCCTTGAGCACTTAGGACCATTTTGCTTTTAGGAGTATAAAACTGGCAGTCAGTGCAGTRTAGATGGCCTTTTCAGATGATGCTTTGCTTGATTTCCTTGGCCTGTTGCCTGAGGAAGGCATGAGCATGGATAGAGCCTTGTGCACTGATTACAACCCCRTCCCCAGGGGTTATTTTCAAAGACTGAAGTGCCCTTCCAAGGTTAGCATTGTTAATAACAAGGACTTTTGTTTTATCTATTCAGGAAACTGTGTGTTAATCACAGCAAATGAACTTCCTTAAGCTGCCTCTATCTTTTCACTTGTCAGGGTTTGGAAGTCTAATGAAAATGTTCTCTTAACACTTCTTATTTTTAAGGTATGGACACTATGTAGAAGGCACAGGCTCRGTTCTACAGACAGCAGAAGATGTACAGGTAAGAATGTCTAGACTAACATGCGTATGTTTTACTGGAACACTCATTTCATCTGTGTTCTGCTTTGCTATTCTGAATTTAGTAAAATGAAAAGACTTCTAAAGCTACATTTTTCAGGCATCTGAATTCTCAAATAACRGTTTATTTAAATCAAAATTATACGTGGGCCTCTATCTGGGAGGAATGCAAGCTGCTCTTATTTTATTAGCCATAGCATCACATAGAGATTTCACAGAGGTGTGTAGAAATGTTAAGATGGACTAATTCTATGAATAACTTAGTATRTGATGTTATGATTCTCCAACCTTTTTTTTTCTACACAGATGATCCAGTAAGCCTGTCAAATGTTTAAAATATTTCAATAGAATTGTGTTTTCTATTAAAAGTAGTCCCTAGGCTTTGGAAAGGTTAAAAAAATATATGGGTGCACCATTATTTAAAGCTACTTTTTACAAAATATTCTGTACTCAGGGATGTCCTCCTGCACTTCTGTGCCATTCACGAATTTTACACGGCGTTTCTAAGCCTATGAGGAATCCAACATGGGAATTCAGAACAACCTCAAAGCAAATGTATTAAAACAGCTGCATCCATACAGCTGATTTTTGTAGATGGTCAGGCTATTGAATCATTCCTCGTATTCTGTCACGGACAAATGTTTGTAGTCCTTTGATTGCCTCACTGTATATTYGTGTGGCTTGTAACTGAGGGAAGGAATGATGGATTCCCCCATGGCAACATTAGTTTCCTTCTTGTAAATGCATGTGTTGAGATGTTGTCTGAAAAGATGTAACACCAGTCATAATTTCAAACAAATCATGCTATTGTCTCTGGCATTTTGATAGTCAGAGAGAGAATCTGTTATGATGGGAGTGTTACAGCATTAACTTGTGACATGTTCTGCTTGTATCAGTGATATGTATTTGTTGCTTTGGATATTCTTCATAGCTTGAGTCAGTGTTTAAATGCATTGAGATGATACCAGAAGAAGAGAAGCTTATGAAGCTGTCAACATTAAAACTGAGGTACTTTACCCCAAGAGAAATAGCAAATCTCCATGGATTCCCTCCAGAATTTGGTATGTGCTTACAAAGTGCCTGTTTCTACTTSATTTTTATGAAATTCTGACTTATTTTTTTGATGAGTAGCAATTCATGCTTTTTGTTCTGCAGTCTTTTTCATAGCACTTTATTTTAATGACTGGTTCTTATTCCTTGGCTAACATTTCTCTGAATTTCTATTAGTTTTTCTCACAGTTTATAAAAACTAATCTYTATCATTAGGTTTATTTTCATAAATCAGGAAGAAAATAGTTTTGGGATGAGAAATGCTGCATTACTGAATGGCAATGAAGGAAGACCTTTGTTTTAAAGTTGAAACTATTTACRCAGCAGGCAGGATTACCAACAACTGTAACAAGTCAAATATCCTGCCAATTTAGGAAGTCTGTTACTGGTTCTTGGTGTCTGAACCACTTACTTTTTCTCTTCCACACATTTGCAGCTGCTGGCAGAGAGGGGAATTTCACAAGATACAGATGCTTCTTTGTTCGGGAGCAGCCAAACTCTTCAGTTAATGATCTGTTAAAGCCTCTATTTTCTAGAAAAGGCTGTTGGTCCAACACAGGCTTATACCAGCAGCAGCTAGCTGCTGGCTGAAGAAGGTGAGGAACTTAATTTCCTAACTATTTTTGTGGAGGAGAGGGAGTCAAGGAGCAAGGCTACACAATACCATTATGCTGCATGCAGCCCAACCAGAACTAAGTCTGCAACAAATTCACCAGATTTCCTCTTCCCTTTCCATAAATAAAGACAAGAAAACCTGTTATCCGCTAAGGAGCCTGGCTGCCTGCCATCCTATCAGCTCCATTGATTATCTCTCAGCAATACCAGCCTCCATTGAATCAGATGTCAGTGACCTTGAGTAATTGGTGTCTTTTCCCTTGAATTCCTGGGTGACTTAGTATTTCAAAGGAGGCCAGTAGTCTGCATATATTTTTCTTTTGTAGCTTCGCTTAGTTTTCTCATTTACATTGCAAATTCTTACACTTAAAAAACAGTATCAAGGTTGCTAAGTCAAGCATTTAGAGCAGACAGAACCCAGATTGCTTTTATAGCAGCASTTAGTGTGCTATGGCCAGTTGCAGGCCCATATACAGTTTTTTCATAGCCTGCCTTCTTTAATATTCTGCAGGCAGCCTTGGTCTGAGCAGATTTCACTTCCATACTGGCTTAGGCTAATGCAAAGAAACCTAACAAGCCCAGCAGGGCTGCATACGGAATTACTATTCAGTGTGTGGTTTTCCCATCATTCTGCATGCATCCTTTAGGTTATTAAAAGAAGTTTATCCTGCTATCGAGCTCCATCTTGAATGCAAAGTTGCCCATTTCTTTTTTCAAATATGGTTTAATACCATAGGGGGTTCCCAGACATTAAATCTGTCTTTACAATACCAGTGAGGGATGTGATGGGATTAGTGTTCATATTTTACAGAGGGAAAACTGAGGCAGGGAAAAATTTGTTTGGAAGACACCACTAGTTCAGCATGTCTAGCTTGTGAAGGCCTGAGCATTCCTGTTTCCGAGGGGCTGGAATGACGCAGTGTTTCCTCTGCTCAGAGCTCCTCTTCGGGGCAGCTCTCAGCTTCGTTGCTTACGTGGAAAAGAGCTGAACCCTCCGGACAGTTGGAGCTTGCAGAGGTGAGAAGCCTCCAGGTAGTCGCCGTCTGTGGAGCGCTCCTGTAGCCAAGTTGTCTTCCATCACCTATGAATTGTGCCGTGGTGTCAGGGACAGATSCCCCTGCTGAAAGGGGAATCTCTTCCCCATCTCTTTTTGTCTGACCTTCCTCACAGTTCTTGGAGCGCCCGCTTTGCTGCCCTCCACTCCCAGCTTCCACAGCGAATGGAAGGGGCTTCCTCATGCAGYGGTTCCTCCGTCACACGCTCCTGATTCACTGCAGAATGAGTCTTTCCCCATGCTCTGAGTCACAAGTCTGACATTTCTTTTCTCTCTGTTTGAATCTAGAAGTTTCCCAATGTGTACTTGCAAAAACTGGTATTTGCTTCKAGGTGATTAGAATCTCTTGGAAATTTAGCTACTAATTTCTTTTGAGTATTTGCAAGGTTTCTTCTTTTTTTCTATTTCTCTCCCAAAGGCTTGTAATTTACTGTATTTATAGCTACAGCAAAGTATGTATTCCTGACAGCATTTGTTCTGTGTTAAAGTTCAAGCCATTGGTGGGAAATGTGGAATTTTCAAAGGGAAACGTGCTATAATTTCTCTACASTTATATTCTGTAGTGACAGTACCATTTGGGGTGACATTTTTAACAAAAATCCTTAATATGTACCCAGTGCAAATGTGTCAGCCCCAAAACACTGAAGAATGAGAAAACTGTAAGCTGAAAATAAGCTCTAGGTGAAGTGACTGTCAGGGAGCTTTGGTAGCAGGTGCTCTTCCTAGCTACAGCCACAGTTACTCAAAGGAACCACTTTGTTTCAGTGGATCTCAAATGCAACCCCCTCCTACACAAGAGATCCAGAGTTACAGTCGCTGCTCTTTCTCAACACTAACAGATTTTTTGTGTGCTTTTAAAGCCTGCATGTAGTAATTGCCCTAGAGCTCAATGAAATACAGTCATTTGTCTCAGTCAGTATCATGGGTCCCACAGCAATTTTGTTAGAAGTGACCACATGATCCCTGCAGCTCTGACTTGTTTCCAGCAGAGTGACATCAGGATGATGCTTGTCCTGCTTTCCGTTAGTAACGTGCCCGCGTTGTTAAGAAACCAGGAGCAGCCTCCCAGGAGCCAGCGCTCCTTGATCGCGGGTTTTGCTAAGGCTGCGACGCTGCCAGGTGATCCAGGCTTAGGTGGTGGGAAGGCAGGTCAGGATGGGCCAGCGCTGCACGCCACGTGCCCACGTACTGCGCGTGACCGTGTCCGCGCTCCTGCTGGAGCCTGCTCCGGAGCCAAGGGGCAGGGTAACCTGAACGGGCAGGAAGAAGCGGCTGGRCCTAAAAGAGGCAGCGGGTCCTGAAAATAATCCAGGCTTAGAGCTGCCGAAGGGCGGTAGGAGCAACCCTAGGGGGTTCACAGTTTAGATATGATTATTGGGCTGTAAATCACAGAGTCACAGAAGGGTTGAGGTTGGAAGGGACCTCTGGAGATCTAGTCCAACCCCCTGCTCCAGCAGGGACACCCAGAGCACGGGGCACAGGGCGGCATCCAGGCGGGTTTGGAAGATCTCCAGAGAAGGAGACTCCACAACCTCCTGGGGCAGCCTGTTCCAGGGCTCTGCCACCTGCACAATGAAGAAGTTCTTCCTCACAATAAAGAATGTATATGTGTTTTTCCATAAATGCACTCTCATTTTTGTATACTCTTTTAAAATAAGTAAGCGAAAACTCCAACGGAGGAAGTTTGTGTGGGAATTTAAGCGGTTCCAAAGGGAGAAGAAAGGGTGTGCAAGCGTGAGTGCCAGGGAGCTGGGCAGAATGGCTGCAGCTGGCAGCAGACAGACGTGGTGTTTGCCAGGGTYGGCCGTGCCCAAGGCATTAGTGACTGGCAGAGGGGGATGGAGCAGCTCCTCCCGGGCACCGCCTGCTCCCCAGCTTCCCACCCTGCGCCCGGCTGCTCTCCAGCCCTGCTCCCTGCCCAGCCCGCCCTGGTTTCCTCTGTTGCACCGATGGGCTGTGACAGCTTCACAGCGTGCCCGTCCCTTGGGCACGCTCACCAGGTGTATCCCCMAAGGCTAGTCGGGGTGCCGGTGCCWCAGGGGCAGATAGGGCTTCCTGCCCAGGGTATGGTCAAACCGTGTAATGTGGTCAGGCTTGAGCACTCAGCAAAGGCCGTGACCAGCTGAATCACTGCTGCTGTTCCCCTTTCCCGGCAGTTGAAGCAAATGGACGCGGAGCTGGCCCGGGGCGGAGCGGGAGCCAGGGCGGCTGTAGCCGACCAGCTGCCTGTCGGTACCTGGATTCTCAGCCCCTCTCCTGCCTCTGGGCCCTTCATGCACAGACAAACATTAAAGTCTGTACGGGGGGTTTATTGTGCTCTCAGACTGGCTTGATTTGCCTTAACTGGTGAGAGGAGCTCAGGTGAGAAGTAAAACACAGAGGTTGTGGCGAGGAGCGGTTTAGCAAAGCTGCAGAATGTGGCTGTTTCTGCCGGTGGCCACTTTCTTCTGTGAGTGTTGGGCTGCTCGCTGGTAGCGTCACAGTTGTGCAGGGTTGTGGGTCCTGCTGCCCCCCGAGCTGGTTGTGCTTCACCGAGGATGTTGGTCCCATCCCAAGTGATGCTACATCAGCTTTAGTCACAGAGTAAGGCAGGGTTTTGAAGCTGCTTGTGAAATCCCAGAAATGGCTGTACTGCTAATGGAAGAACCAGTGGAAATTATTTTTGTGAATTTTACATGAGAGTGTGTGGGGAAACTTATACATAAGCTGCAGTCTATCATAACTGTATTAAGAATTGTTTATTAAAATAGTAGGAGACCAAAATCTGGGAACCAACCCCGATTAAAGGCAGTGAAACGGGCGTTTCTGTTTYAGGCTTCCCTGAYAAAGTTACAATAAAGCAACGTTACCGTCTGCTGGGAAACAGCCTGAACGTGCACGTGGTGGCAAAACTCATCTCCTTTCTGCTCGGAGACCGTGGAAGCTGAACCTGAGGAGTGCGGCTGCTGACAGAAAATACCTTCATCTTTAACAGAAAGCTGATAGTGGCTGAACTAAAATCATAGCTCAGAAAAATACTGGTCCAGGTATTTTGGACTGAACAGTTTTATGTATTTTTAAAACTGTATTTATGGTGGATTTGCACTGTACAGATGTTTTACTTAAATGGATATTTCTAGAACTTAATTACTCTATTTAAATGTTTGCAAAATGAAAAATGGAGTATTTATACATCTGTTAATGAAAATAGGCAAAATTTGTATTTTATCTTAAAGTGAACTTCTTAATGCGATATAAAAAGACTGTAAATGTCAAAGCTGTTCTAGTTAAGTGCAGAGATCAAGTTCCACAAGGAAGATGTCTTCTTCATCTGTAATTATGTGATCCATTCCTAAAAGAATTATTGTATATGAAGTCTGAAATTCTCACGTGTTTTTGTAGCTAATGAAACTATTGAATGTGGTATTTTGTATATGAATTTTAATGCATTTATGTTTGTCTGATCCTATCCAGATACTCGTAGGTTTCTTCAGTCCAACTGTGTCTGAAGGAATTTGTTTCAAGGCAACTGAATAAAAATATTTCAGGGTTATCACAACTCTGACAATAACTTGGCTGTTTCTGTTTTCATTTAAGTTATGCAGGCTGAGATTATTGGTCCCAACCCAAAACCTACACAATGTAAGATATAAAAAGATTTTAAAACTCTGTGCCTAGCCAAGGAAGGGTTTCTAGGGAGAAAAACCTTGGTTGTTTCCTAAGAATTTTTCACAAAACTTGATACTACTGCTAGGTGGTAACGAGTAGATGTGGGGAYGAGCCCATTCCCCATGGCCACCCGGCATGTACTTCATCTCCTGCTGTTTTCTTGCTTCTTCTTCTTTTCTTCTTCTTCACCCTTAGCGTGCACGTAACGTAACTTCTGGGCTATAAACCAGGAGAAGCTTGGGCTGAGCTTTCAGCTGTCTTGTTCTCCAGGAGCATTTTGGCTACCTGAGGTGTTCCAGGTACAAAAGTGGAGTRGAAGTAGATTCTCCTCAGAGAGACAGCTCCGAACTGGGTTCTTTTACCTTAGAGAGATGAGTTCTGGATCTCTTCTTTACACCATTTCTTATAGCGCTGTAGTAGCAGTTGTAGCTACTACCAAACTTTGCAAGGAGCAAGTGTGTTTTTGAACTATGTTATGAATTATAGCTTATGTTTGCTTACATGTGGTTATTATTAAAATTTGTCAGCAAATCAATAACCAATGAGTACAAAGTCTTGTACATAGTCTTGTTCTTGGACATACATGCAAATGGGAGGATCTATTCCCCTGTAATTTGATCTGAACAGTCAAACCACAACAAAGGAAATCATAGTTTTATGTACCAAATTCTTTAGTGTTTAAATGATATGTAGTGGTGTATACACCATTCATGAGCAAGCCTATTAAAGTATAGCTTAAAGTGTAAGTTATCTGCATTTAAAACTATGATATARCAATACAGTCTTTATTTGACTGTCAAAAATTGTTTACTAGTCATTTTGTTTCTAAAGCAGGTAATATTTTGAACTAACAGATTTCAGAGGTGTAAATACATATTTGTGTACTTTACTTACACTATTCCTGGAAAGTCAGTACAGCTAAATTGGGAGAGCTGTTTCCTCTCCCATTTGGCTGTCATTAATAGACTTGTTTACTGAGCTCTGTTGAAYTGCACCTGCTTGACCTCGCTCCATGATCACATTGCTTTCCTTTCTTTCCAGGCAGCCTCCTAACAACAAGTGCTTCGCAGCCTGCATCTGTACAGCACTTTGCAGCTGCAGCRCAAGCATTTTAACAGCACTGAAATGTCATCACAAGAGCAGCTGAAAGGTAAAATGAGTGAGATCGGGATGGCAGGTCTGAAATCGGCAGGAGATAACCTGCCATCTTATTTTTGCCTTCACAGCTCAGTTATTCTGCGCATGGGAAATATATCTCTTTATGAAGATGATGTAGCCACGTTCCCTCAAGCCTGAGAATCTGCACTGAAGAAGAAGATGTCATATTCAGGGGTATCATATTTAGGCAGTCACTTACAGAGAGTGGCAGTTGTCATAGAGAATGTATTACCTACATATTTTTTTTTCTGAGTTCATCCAGGATTTCCCTGTAACCATGAAGAGACCTGTTAACAGTGAAGTTAATGAAATAACTTCTGCTTAAAGTAGTGGTTTTTAATCCTTTTCTTTGGTAGGTGAACATTTTTTTTTTTGCTTGCTGTTCACACTGAAGTTTAGCTTTCCACTATCATTGTGTAGAAATACTGAAGTATATTTCTTTTGTAAATTTTTATAAAGTGAAAAACCTTTAGAAATGTAGTATATTTTGCCTCATAGATATCTGAAACCACATAAGTGCTCTCTGATTTTCTTTCTGTGTGGTCTTTAGAAGAATACACTATATTAATATATATATGTATAGTGTATAAATTAGAAGTGGTCAAGGAAGTATCCCAGGAAAAAAATAATGCCAGAGTACGAGAAACTAAGCATATAGCTAAAAATGAATTCCAGAGRGTGTCCTTGATTTTGCCTATGTAGACATGGGCATTTTAGTGTTTTAAACTTCATTCAAAGCAGCATATGCTCATTTAATAGGAGCTTGTTGAATAGATTACTGATAACCAAGACAGCATGGAAAAACTAAACAACAAATAGCAATTACCTCTCATTTTAAATGTTATTGTGAAGACCATGAAGAGGTTTGTGATATTTCTATATTTAATTGATGACTGGGGTTGAGAAAAAAAAATCTATGACATTAGATTACCAGATGATCTTTGTTACAGTGGAATAAAGCACACGTCCTCGTACACAGACAAAAGCTCTTTTCATAGAGCTCTGATGAAGCAAGAAGCAGAGTTGGAGGGGATAACATTGACTGGAAGACACCACTTGTAATGAGACAGGGCTGCTGGATGGGGTTTCACAGATTCTCTGAGTGTCTGCCCGGGTTGGGCTCCCTTCAGAGCTGTTACTGAAACTCAGAAAACTGCTACAAAGAAGTCCTTAAAAGCTCCTCCAATTGGGAATTGCTGTCTCTCCAAATGCAGGAATACATCCTGAAGTCCCATCTTGGCTGAGAGCATGAYTGCTCTGTGCTTTGGCTTGTGCACTGGCCTTACGTAACTCTACCGCAAATTTAAGTTAAGGTGCAACCTGTCATTTGGAAACAACACACCTTAATTGCTAAAACATGTTCTTAAAACTGAAGAATAAGTAGGTTTGATTAGTTCTTGTGCTTTTCCCTTTAGATACTCAAAGTACTTAATTCCATTTTGTTTATAGAGGTTGCACTTAATAAAAAAATGGGATTCTGCTGGAATTAATATTTCTGCATTGCATTTCGACTGAATCTCTCTCTTACTTTTGCTCTAGTATTATTGATTACGTATGCCTGTAAGGTGAAGCATGGGAGAAGGCTTCATAGGAGAAGCAGGAGGAACTGGATGAGGCCATGGAAGAAAAGGCCTTTGAGGAGAACTGCACAGGTAGAATTTGGGCTGAGGAAGTCCCCAGGCTGCAGATTAGCATCCCCTTGGCCTCCGTTTAGGAGAAGTCTTGTCTGTGCTTGCCCTCCCGTGTGCCCTTCCTGCCCTCACGTCTGCTTTGGCCTCTGTTCCAGACAGCGTCCTGACCCAGACAGATACTCCAGCCCAGTGTGACTACTCTTACTTATATTTGTGTTGTGACAGAATGCCGATATTTGCGATTGGAATGTCGATACACAGCAAATAATTCATGCAGTTGCAGTGTACAGCTCAGACCTAAACTTTTCAATAACGTGAACAGAACAAATTTGAGAGAGGTTGTGCAGACAGGTCCATTCATAGCTTTAGGGTTATTAGTGGAGAAGGGCGACTATGCAAATGGCAGCCTCTAAAAATAACTCCAGTATACATTAAAACAATTCGAATATGCTGAAAGGACTGGAATAATCAATAGGAAAGAATGAAGCCAATGTTACTGCCTGGAAACTTTGCCATGAACCTCATTTAAAAAAAAAAAAAAAAATGAAATAAAATGGATCAAATTGATGGTTTATAAAACCACTACACACAGGAAGTAGAATCAAAAAGACAGCGCAATCAAAATGTAAGTCTTCTGCCTAAAGAAACCTAGACATTATAAATGCCTCCACTGTGGTAAAGGAATCAAGGGTGAATTTAGGATGATTAATTCCAGCCAACTAAACCAAAAGCGATCTGTTTATTATTTTCAATTTAGAAGTGAAAACCTCGATTTTCTGGCCAGTTAGTTCATCTTCACCATCAGATAAATTATTAACTCCATCAGCTCGCAGTTGTGTTAAAGGAGCAAATTCTCAAGCAGGTACAAGATGTCAGAAACTGAGAAGGAAAATCTGTAGAGTGACATGCAAAACAGCCTTGCAGGTTCTCCAAGCCTCTGAAGAAGATGCTGCAGCCATAAATCTTTATAGATACACAGAAGGAGAAGTGGTTCAGAGTGGTTATAGGTAAAGGGCAGTAAAGGGAATTGGTTGGAGGGAGGCATTAGAAAAACTGCCTGTTCCAGCACCAAATTTCATACAGGAATTGTTGCACATTCTCGAATGGATTTTAGTACTTCCATTTGATGTTACATAGAATTTGATGTCTTTGGACACCTACCTCTTCACCACAAAGCTGACCATTCCTATGTTATGTTTTTCATAGAATCTCCCCCATTTCAAGTGAGRTAAACTGTGTGGTATAATGCTCCATATAATCCTGCTAAATTCAGATTAGTGCTTGATCCTCTTAGAGCTGTAGGGAACACACTGAAAGCAATGAATCTAATACTACACTTTTTTACACCATCAATTTGCACATTTTTACTATGTAGGTAGCAATAAGACTGTGTCTGTCACTTTTGAGCATTAGAATTTTATTCAGAAGAGGAAAGATGAAAGAGAATCCAGGGGAAGAGAAGATGGGAATACTGGGAGATGTTACCTCAGCGGAGGAGAAATTCAGGTAAATGTGCACCACTTGGGAATAAGCTAGCAATGTGGCTGGATCTTAAATTATTTGCACTTACTAGAGTCATAACATTGAATAGCAGAGATCTTTTTTACATATACAAGACAAACAGTTACATGTTTTTGTTCTTAAAAATCAGTCAGGTTTGGAATGCCTACTAAACAARGAAGCACTGTCACAGACTTGTGCTTTGTCTGTGTCCAAGCTGACTTTCTAGGTACAATCAATGCCCATCAAGTTCTGGTCGTAATCTAGTGTTCAACTATAGGTCTACTACAGCAAAGTCTTGCACAGTGATTGTGTTGCTGGAGACCAGCAGACTACCCTTCCATTTCACATGGCCGCATACAGAACCATGAGATGGAGGTAAATTGCAGTCATGGCTACTGCACCATGAACTTCAGCCAGAATTAGATGGAGACAAAAGTTCTGCTACTTCCTGCCAAATCTGGTGAACAACCTATTCTCTTCAGAGATCTTTCCTCAGCCGTAGTGCTGGTGAGGTAATGGAATGATCTGTCTCAGGAGGGAGTGTTTATGCCAGTGCTCCTTGCTAGAACAACCGCTATTTTTATGCCAGATATTTACATGGTTTCCATTATGTTCCTCCAAAAATGATGGCTTAATCCAGTGTATTTCAGTAAAATTGAAAGGCGTGCATCTACTTTTCTCTTTAAAATAGTTCATAGATTTCACAGTTTGGCCATCCTGAGGTGCTTTCACTAGAATTAGAATGGTAAATTAAAATCTCAGAGGTCTAATAAAGTAGAAAGTACTGTTTTAGATAGATATCCAGAGCTCTTTCTATCCTATAACCAGTGCAAAGTGAGATTCATTTGGCCTTCAGCTGAATTGTTTTCTAAGCTTTAAAACCTGCATGGAGAGAAGGTAAAAGGAGTTCTTTCTTTTTTGGGGYAGCAACATTCTCCTTAGTCTCTGTTTCTGGAGTTAGTTGGAAAGAAGAGCTTCATTCAAGACCTATAAGCAGCAGAGAGGTCAACACATAACTCAGTATACAGAAGAAAAGAACACACAACAGGAAGTTTTTGTTGGTTTGTTTGTGTTTTTTTTCTGGATCACAACGAAAGTCCAGTTGAAAACTGTCAACATGAGGGCCTTCCACAAAGTCAGGCCTTAAAGTGCRAACATTCAGCCGGTCTGCTAGAACTGTAGCAGGAAGGCTTTGACCTCATAGCACTTCTGTAAGCTGTAGAATTCATTAAACACAGGAGCTTCAAGGCATGTCACAGATACGTGTGGGCAGAATTTCCCTGTCAGATGAAAAGGGAAAGCCACAAGTGCAAACTGGAGCAGAAGGGAAGTCCAGGGCAAGGACAGCAGTTGCAGAAGGCTCAGCAGCCTCTACAGCAGTCAGTGGTTCCAGGATCAGTGAACGGTGGCTACAACAGTGTCTGCTCTGCTCTGTTCAGCAGAGTTGTGCATGAGTTATCTATTAAATTGAAGGGGAAGGAAAAAATGGTGGTGGGACTGGATGTTCAAGTAGCTCCTAATACGAAGGTGGAAGATAYTCAAAGCACCTGTATGGGAGAAAGGGAAAGCCCAGTGAAACCTTTGCTGGGGGTAATATGGGAGCTCTGGCCAAAGCACAAGATGGAGTAGCAGGGATTGTCGCATTAAATTGACTTTCTGGGTGGAGGATAAAGTGCCGAAGCCCTGACGCAGCGCGGTGGCGAAGGCAGGACAGGGGCCCTGCCACAGCTGCTGCCATGATGGACTGGGCCTTTAGGCATGAGGAGCTGCCGGGCTGAGAGACCCTTCTGCTGGGGCTGCCGCCAGCCGCCCCCTCTCCACACGTGGGGAAGGCCACAGCCCGGGCTCTGCCACCTCGGCCCATGCGGAAGCGCTAGTCCAGGCAGGGCAGCGCTGCAGGGAGCTGCGGCCATGACAAGGAACAGGAAGTACCCTGGATCCTGGTAGGGCCTGGGGAAGCCCCTGAAGCCTCAAGGAAAATGGGATTGAGATCCGAAGGCTGGCTCTCAGRATGCACGGATCTGCATTTTCCAGTTAACTTGGAGCCAGTCAATCCCCGCTTGGTTCCTGCACTGTGTGCGGCTAGCCGGGGATGCGGGAGCCCTGGAGTGTGCGGGGAATGCAGCCTGCCCCTGCCAAGCACCATGCGGCTCCTTGGTGTGCCACCAGCTCCGCAGCGTCTGGGGCCGAGCCAT